CACTGCACCCTCAAACTCCTGGGCTCAAGCGATCTTCCTGCCTTGCCCTCCCAAAGTGTTAGATTACAGGAGTGAGTTACTGTGTGTGGCCTGGAAGCAGTTTCTAATAGGAAAGAAATACTTTGATTCCAAGACAGATAAGTCAGATCTATTTAACTGTAATGAGTAATTGCCCATAGTCCAGCTTAAGTAAAATTTCATGAATGTGATCTTAATATAGACCTCACATTAATGAGATTTTAAATGTTTCATTTCTGCATAAGGTTATCTATGTGCTAGTTTCATTTATTTTCCAACAATTTGGTTTTCATAGTGTGACTTTGTAACCCTCAGAAACAAGAAGACATTATTATAATAACATTTGCATGGAAGACAGTAGCAGGTGTGGAGTCCACAAATAAAGTGAACCCCACTGCAGTGTACAAGATAGATCACAGATGATAGGCAAAGTACATAAAACAGGGTGCAAATAAAGGACATTAAACAGTGAACATATCCACAATATTAGTTTAAGACAGTGTTTGTCAAATGCTATTTTCAGACTAGTTTCTGTCATTGAACCTGAGTTACAGAAGACAGACAAAATTGTCCACAATCTGCAAGCTAATCTCAGCAAGAAGGAAGCACATTCTCTGTAGGTCCAGCATGAGTAATGGCAACACAGTGCAAACCTATTTGCTTTGTTAAGAGGCCTTTGTCCTTTGTTGGAGGGATTCCTTCATGAACTCAGACTCGAGGCCTTGCCTTTGTGCTCTGATAGCTCCTGATGCATATTACATTCTATCAAAAAGGTCTATTTTATTTTATTTTTTCAAATTTTTCTTGGGAAAAATTTCAAACATACAGAAAATATCAGTGAATAATACAACCAAGCCTGTATATCTATCACCCAGATTCAATCATTATTTTGCCATATTTACATTATCTACCTTATATCTGTCATATATGCTTACATCACCAAACCAACCACCAGAAAGTAAGTAAAGATTTCAGTATGAATCTCCTAAAAACAACCAGTATAACTACAACACAATTAACACACCTAAGAAAAGAGCAACGACTCAATGTCTAATATTCATTCTGTATTCAAATTTGCCTGTCCTAAAAATCGCAGCGTTCTAGCTGTGATTTTTGTTTTCTTTTTAACCAGTAGCCTATTAAGTGAAACTAAATCTTAAGTGGGAGCAATGCTGTGTGGGCCATCTGGCTCAGACACAATGATCCAACTTAACAATGGCTTAAACAAGATTATGTCTCTGTCACTTAATAGTCTGGAGATGTGCCAGTCCAGAGCGCTTAGGGTGGCTCTTTCATCCTCGACACATGGCTTCATCTCAGAGTTGAAATATGGCAGCTCCAGCCCCTGCTATCATGCCACAGAGAAGACCCAGGGAGCGCATACTCCAAGGGCATAATCCAGATGTTGCATGAACGATTTTTGTTCACATTCCATTGTA